GAGGGTCTGTGCTGTGGGTCCAAGCTGGGGTTCCCTGTCTGGTGACAAGTAGGGTAGGGGGGGTGTGGGACCCATGGGAGACAAGCTGGCCTTCTCTCCTTGGGTTAACAGCAGTTTGGTTTGTTGGAGGTGTGGATAAAGCACTTAGGGTCTTTGCTCCTTTGTTATTCTGAGGGTGGCAAGGGCAGTTCTGCTGCAGAGGCAGTGGCAGAGAGGCTTTTGGTTGCCCCTGGGGGCTCCACTTCTAAGAAACTCAGAGCGACTATTACTGGGGGGTGTTCAGCCAGTGGGGCAGGGTGGCTGCACTGCTGCTGTGAGCTTGGAATTCTGCTTGGTGGGGAGCAGGGGGTTGAAGACTTACAGGGAGGAGAGGTTGGTCTCCTTTCCATATGGTGGCTATGGGGTACTGTAAGTTCATGTGTAGTCCTCAGGCTCTTTGTTTCTTCCCCAGACCAAGGGCAGGAAGGATAGAATTGTTACTGTAGCAGTGGCAGAAGGGCTGTTGTATGCCTCTTGGAGCCTCTCCCTGGGGAAACTCTGGGCCACTACCAGTGGGTCTGCTCAGCTGTGGGTGGAGCAACTGTTCTGCATTCATGAGCCGGGGCCCCTGCCTGGTGAAGAGTGAGGGGTGCTGGTCCCCAGGGAAGAGGAGTCTGGATTTCCCTCCATATAGTGGCTGCGGTGTGCTGGAGGTACCAGCGTAATGACTAGGCCCTTTGTTCCTTCCCAGTCCAAGGGCTGTAACGGCTGAGCCACTGCACCTGTAGTGGTGGAGGGGTTGTGGGTTGACTCTGTGATTTCCTCCTTGAAGAAATGCTGGGCTGCCTTGATTATGGTGATCAGGCAAGGGTTGGGTGGTTGTGCTGCAGTCCCATGTCAGGCAGCACTGCCTAATGAGGAGAAGTGAGGACCAGAATCTGCGTGGAGAATAGTCTGGCCACTTTTCTGTAAGGGGGTTGCTCTTTGTTGGGGGTCCAGACCAGTCCGTGGTCCTCACAGACTCTCCCAAGCCTGGAGACAGCAAGGGCAAGGGCTGCAAGACAGTGAAGATGGCAACACTCCCCCGCCCCAGCCACTGGGAGCTCTGTCGAGGCAGTTGCAGAGCTGCTACTGGCTTCATAGCCCCAGCAGGGTGTGGGTAGAGGTCCAGGCCTGGAGGACCTGCACGGTGAGGAGATATGGGAACAGGCCACTTTTCTGCAGGGCTGCTACTGGGGGTTTGCTGTAGTACCTAGTCTCCTTGGGTTTTCCAATACCTGAAGGTATCAACAGTGGAGGGTGCAAAACAGCAAAGATGGTGGCCCGCTCCTCCCTCTGAAAGCCCTGTGCCAGGGAGGTATGGACCTGTTGCCTGCCCCAAGGCACCTGTAGAAGGTGGCTGGAGACCCTAGTCGGGAGGTCCCACCCAGTCAGGAGGAACGGGATCAGGGATCTGCTTAAAACAGTAGTCTGGCCATATTTTCACAGAGTAGCTGTGCAGTAATGGGGGTCTAAAAAATCTTATGTTAGAGATTTATACTTTAATACGAGAATAAAGAAGCATTATGAGATGCTTCCCTATTTGTGTTTTCATTTATTAGTATTCTCTATGATATGCCAAGTGATAGTTTACAAAATGTGGCACCTATAAATATACTTTAATTACTCATTCACCTCAATCACTTAGTCAACAAATACCTATTGAGTAAATACTGAGCTGTTCTAAATTCTGGGGATATCAATGTATGAGATAGACAAGGTCTCTGTTCTCTTGGAGCTTATTCTAATTATTGTCTTAAAATAAACAGACAAAAGTAGAAACGGGATGTACTGGATGGCATAGTGCACTGTTCAGATACCTCTGTCAGGACGCAGGCAATCACTTGTGAGTTTCTGGGAGTGCTGGCTGCTGGTATTTCATAGGTACATCTCTCTTCTGGAATTGCTTTCTGTCGAAGGAACCTACTTCATCCAAGGTTACAAGCTTTCTCCTAGGGTAGCCTGTGCCTGATGACTGTTTAACGTGAAGTATGAAGACGTGTTCCTCTTGCATCAATTTATAGATAATTTTGAAGGGCCGTTTTAGTTCCAGAGAGCCCCAAAGGATTACCTAAGACTCTGTTATAATTTTATCACTACGGGATTTTTCTCCCTGTTCAATTGTCTCCTGTACTTAAAGGTGTTGTTTCTGGGGAAGCTCCCCAATAAACATCATGCACACAAACCTCCAACACAGATCTGATTCGGGGAAACTCAACCTAAGCTGGTGTGTCCTAGGAAGTAGATTCTAAACAAAACTTTTGAGCTGAATCACCTGCTAAAATGTGAAAAAAGCTAAGGTCAGTGCAAGAATTTAATTATAAGTGTAGTGGAACCTCAGAGAAGGTTGAACTGTTAAGTCCAGCAGCTCTGCAACATTAGAAAAAAGGCTTCATTTAAAAAGTGGGACCCTTGGATTAGGATGGGGGCATCTGGGTCAATAACATTTGAGAACCTGTAAACCCAAATATAGCTGAACCCTATGGGCCAGCAAATGTGTCTCACTCCTCCCTGTTAACGGTTAGCCTGCCCCTCTAGCTTGTATTTGATGCAATGATCTATTCTTGAAGAACAACAACACATCACACCCTCAGGATCTACCCCCACCTACCTCCTAGCCACTAGACCCCTAGTTAGGGTCAAATCTTAGGATAACCTGAAAATGTTCTGGGTTTGCTAAGAAAGAGAAAGGAACTGTACACTAAAAGTGTATAGGGTTATCCAACATGAACTGGCATGAGGCAGGAGAGTATATATAGAACAGGAACATGACAGGTGGTTTAAGGGATGCAACATAAAAATGAACAAGGGAGTTTTTTTAAATACAGGAGTACCTTCCTATAATACAAAATTTAACACCCTAACAAAGACCAAAGGAGATGCTACTAATTTGGCAGTTGGAGGAAATCAATGGCCCATACTACATGCAGTATAAATGCCAGATCTTTCGGGGAGGACAGTGGAGAAGGAAATCAAAAGGCTCAGAGAAGACAGTATGCAAGAGTGAATATACTTCTCAAAGCCTGACAATTCACCAGCCAGCTCTGTTCTATAGGAGGACCCAGAGAATACTCCATTTACCAAAGAAATGAGAAATGTGCTGGTGAGAAGGGCATCCGCATCATTGAAAAGCTCAGTTATGGTTCTTCTCCTTGAGTCATGGCTAACAGCAGGAGATGCTATTAGAAAACCCGGCCCTGAGTGTCAATGGAGATTACATAATCATGAAATAACAGAGTCCAGATGGTACTATTTCAATGACAGGAGCAAGGTGGGAATAGTTGGTGAAATTAATAACGAAGTTGTAAGGACAGCCAAGAGGGCCTGATTTGCAGGGCTCTATGGAGATACCATAAAAAACATGGCATTTAGAGGTGCAGGATAAACGGGCAACCAACAAGACATTGCTATATATACTTATTGACATCTCTATAATCAAAGACAATCAAGAGTGCATTAAGCAGAAAAACGGGGTCAGTCACTCCAACAAAAACTCCCAATCCTTTCCCTAGTTTCCAGACCTGAGCTAATTCTTAGACCTGAAGCCTATTGATTGAAAGATAAGTTGGGTCCCTGTTAAGTAGGATCACAGCAAATATCCACCATAATGACCCGGCCACAACAGTAAAGATTTTAGGGGCCAAGTCTGAGGAGCAAGAGTCTAAGGAATAAAGTTTGAGGCACACCAGAACATCCATTTAAAAGCAAAGGGCACATTACTGCATGTCACCACTTCCAGCACTAGGAAGGAAGCATAGAGCTTGTTACGTGTCTCTGGGATCTGGAGCAGCATTTTTCACACTTGGAAATACAGCTCTAACCCATTCACCAGGCAAAGAGGAAGGCTACCAGCTTTGAGTGGGACTTAGAGTGGGAAAGCATCTGCAGCAGGTCCAGACTGCAGTGCAATCACACTGGTGTCTTGGGCCATATAATCCAGAAGAGTCTAGGTTACTAAAGGTATCTGTGCTGTGAAAAGATAACGTGGAATTTAGGGAAGCCATGGCAGAAGAATCATAACATAGAGCGCCTACAGTCTGCAGCAAGACCATGCCATCTGCAGCAAACAAGTATACACCATTTGAGAAACATGTTGGTGTTTCCTGGTTTACTAGAGCTACTGAACCCTGGTAGTGAAAAGGCTTCCGACCATAGGACATCAGGTGACTGTGGGTGAGAGCTGACCATCACGATGTGTCAGATTCGTCACATCACGAGGTGAGGTGGCACAGCTGCAGTTCATTGTGGGGTGAGAATAGGATCAGTTATAATCAGTTGTGAGCAGGGCCAGAGGGCATTAAAAAATACACTGTGCCAGTGTACCGCCCAGATTTCCACGCCATTTGCCACTATTGCATTAACATCACTTTCCCAGTTCACACCTGCGCCACCTCATAAGCGCTGGGGATCCCTTCTGACCAACAATAAAGGAGAAGAACAGCGTCGCTTCACTGGTGGAGGTGTCAAAAGTGCATGCAAGCTGAGAATGGACTGCTGTTATACCACAGTCCACTCAAGGGTGAGCCAGGACGTTAGCTCCCTAGGGCTTCCATAATAAACATCATGAGCCAAGGGGCTTAAAACAACAGAAATTTATTCTCTCACATTTCTGGAAGCCAGAAGTCCTAAGTTAAGACTTTGGAAGGGCTATGATCTCTCCAAGGGCTCTAGGGAAGAATGCTTCCTTGCCACTTCTAGCTTCTCGTAGTCATTGGCAATTCTTGGCCTTCCTTGGCTTGAGGCTGCATAACTCCAATGTCTGCCTCCACCACATGGCCTTATTTCCCTTTCTCTGTGTCTCCAAAATTTCTATGTGTAAGAAGCTTTGGGCCGGGCGCGGTGGCTCACGCCTGTAATCCCAGCACTTTGGGAGGCCGAGGTGGGCGGATCCTAATGTCATGAGATCAAGACCATCCTGGCTAATAAGGTGAAACCCCATCTCTACTAAAAAATACAAAAATAAAATAAAATAAAAAAGCATTGACACTGGAATTAGGGCTACTCTTATCCAGTATGAACTCATATTAATAATTGTATCTGCAAAGGCCCTATTTCCAAATAAGATCACATTCATAGGTACCAAGAGTAAGGATTTCAACATATCATTGAGAGGATACATTTCAACCCACAGTGCCTTGAAAGATGGAAGTGAGAGAAAAATCCTCCCACTGGGGATGGCTGTAAACAGTGCACTTGGTCATCTAGGTAGGGTGTAGAGGGAGAAGTGGCTTAGGCCAGGAATACACATAGACTCATATGCAAGGTGAATGATTTGGCTAGTTGGACAGGGGTCTGGAAGATCAGAGACAAAAGCATACGGGGAAAAGACATGGGAATGGAGCAAGGTAGTAGCTCAGTGAGGATTACAAAGACTCAGCCCCTTCGTCTCAATTTAGCAACAATTTTAAATGGCCAGCCTCATTGCAAATTATAGATATACAAAGGGATTTGGAGAGAAGAGGACTGATTTGGGATGTTACAGGAGTTCAGCATAGAGGTCTGGCTAGCACCCAGCACCTGAATGAGTGCTAGGCATGGTAAAAGTACTTGATAAATGTAAAGGGTGAATAAATGACTGCTAAGTTTTGGCTCCTGCTACTGACTACATTGTGGTGCCATTTATTGAACTGGGGAAGACTGGCGAGAAATTGCTTTGGTGAGGTGACAGAGCAATCAAGACAGTGTTTCCCATGCTGAAGCTTTCTTTCTGCAGGCTTTCTCTTGTGCCTCAAGAGCTGCTGGCCACAAGCATGAACAAATTAAAATATTGGGGATACACCTTTCAACCCATGGAAGGAGTATGTGATAGCTGGTGGATGAATGCCTCCGCCTCTCCCTCCCTGCTGGTGGAATAATTCTGAGGCATGGTTCAGCTTTCTCAGAGAATCCCCATTGAGAATGAGCGCCATTTGAACACAGTGGCGGCCAGCTTAACAAAGCCTTTACTGGCTTTTTCATTACCCCACCTCTCTTTCACTCACTTCCTCACTTGTGTTTCCTGAAATCCCCTTCCAAATAAATGCTCGCCTTGGGCTTGTAGAGGATACACAAACTAAGGCAAACAATAATGATGAGAATGGCAGGCCTTGGGTCTACAGATCATCTTTGTCTAAAGTTCTCTCCCTTGTCTCTCCATCCAAGTTCTTAACATTCTTTAAAACTCAGTTCAAATCTCACTCTTCATGTAACACCTCTAATTTCAAGTGGCTCCTTAGTGCTAAGTAGCAATTCTAATTTTCTCTAATCCACTTTTTTGCCTGCTCCTAGACAACTATTTCATAACTTTACCTCTTTCTCAAAACCTCAGAACTCTATTCAGCCACCGATTTGGATTGTTAAGACTATTTGTTTGTGACTAGAGTCCATTTTGGCTGGAACTGGTTTGAACTGCAACACCATGTTCCTTATCCTCGATTTCTGTTGTTGAATTTACTTCCTCTGTTGTGAAGAAATGAGAATTAATCTGAATAGAATTCCTATACCCTCCCAACATAACATCTACCCACTTCCTGCATCTGGACCCATAACCCTGCTCTCTCCTCGCAACTCCATTAATATAAATAAACTGTCTTTGCTTCTGTGCAAAGCCACCTACTTCCCTTGGGCCCTGTACGTCATCCTTTCTTTATTATTCAGGACATTGCTCTAGCAATTGTCCCTTTTGTTTCTCCATCATCAAATTTTCCTTCTCTACTACATAATTCCCTCTAAATAATTTTTAGAGGGAATAAAACATTTTTATTTCTCACAATTTAAAAACAAAACAAAAAACGATCACATAACCCCATATTTCCCTCCAGTCACCACTCATTCCTCTATTTCCCTTTTTTCAAAACTCTTTGAGAGTTGTATGTGTTTGCTATCTTTCATTACCTCTCCCTTCATTCTAAATTGTTTGCACTCTACAGAAGTTTTTATTTTCACTGTTAAACCAAAGCAGTTCCTACCAGGAACACAAACAACCTTTATGAAACTAAATTCAATGGTTGATCCTCAGTCTTCAGCTACTGGGTCACATGACATGATTAACACTTTCTTCTGGACACATTTTTCTCATGTGGCCTCTGGATCATCTCTCCTCATTCACAGTTCTAGTTCTCTTTTGTTTGTTCCTCCCAATGTCTCCGATCTCTAAGTAGAGTGTCTTATACCCTACCTTTGCTCTTCTCCTTTATATATCTGTTCCTTATCTTCTCTTTTCTCTTTCCCCATTTTTTTCCTATCTGTCCCATCTTATCTGTTTTTGTGATCTTAAATGCTTTCTTTATGGAGATGAGACTCCCAAATTTGGATCTGCAATCTGGATCTCTTTCCTCAATTCCAGAATCATACATCCAACTGCTTAAATACCATCTTCCCCTTGCTTTCAAATGACTTCACATTTATTAAAGTCCAACTATGAACTTCTGCTTTACATTAAAGACCTGCTCCTCCTCTTTTCTGTCTCAATAAATTCCAACCAATCCATTAGCAAATGCCATCAGCTCTACCTTCAAAAAATATATAAAAACAAAAACAGTGCGTGCCTCCTCCTCACCACTTCCACTGCTATGTCTATACTTTCACCCACCACTGGATGTTTGCACTGACTTTTTACAGGTCTCACTGCCTCTGCCCTTCACTCCTGGCAGCCTATACTCAATACATCCAGGGCCAGCATCATAGGCATATGACCCGTGCAGTCACACAGGGCCCCTCACTCACAAGGACCCAGTGCTCGGTTTAATGCTGTGCTGTTGCCATCTTGAAATTCTTGATAATTTTTGAACAAATAGCCTCACACTTTCATTTCTCACCAGGTCCTTCAAACTGTAGCCAGTCCTGAATGCACCCAACTGGGTCTTTTAAATCATAAACCAGATCATATCACATCTCTGCTCAAGACACTACAAAGGTTTCCTACCTCATTCAGAATAAAAGGCAAAAGCCCTACAATGGCCTCCAGGGACACATGTGACACCTCTCCCCACCTCTCACCTCTCTGATCTCATCTTCTATCACTCTGCCTTTTGCACATTCCTTGATGTTTCTCAAACACACTAAGAACACTTTCAACCTTAGGGCCCTTGCATAGCTTTTTCTTCTGACTGCTGCACTCTTACTTGAACATTGCATGACTTGCTCTCATGTTTTCTTCAAGCCAAATTATAAGTGAAGCCTTCTCAGATTACTCTAAATAAAACAGAAATCAACATCAACCCCTTGGCACTCTGGTGCTTTCTACCCACTTTATCTGCTTTATTTATTTATTTATGACAGGGTCTCACTGTCACCCCGGCTGGAGTACAGTGGTGCCATCATGGCTCACTGCAGTCTCAAACTCCTGGGCTCAAGCAATCCTCCCACCTCAGCTTCCCAAGTAGCTGGGACTATAGGCATGAACCACCACGCCTGGCTATTTTTGTTGTTGTTATTGAGGGAGGGTCTTACTGTGTTGCCCAGGCTGGTCTCAATCTCCTGAGCTCAGGCAATCCTCCCACCTCAGCCTCCCAAAGTGCTGGGATCACAGGCGTGAACCACCCACCCACATGCCCAGCTCACCTGCTTTATTTTTTAACTTATACCTATCACAAGCTGACATTCATTCTTACTTAATTACTTATATATAGCCTGTATGCCTCTGCAAATCTAAAATGTAAGCTTCCCAATCTCGGGGATATTGCGCTGTTCTTTGTGATATTTCTCTCACCTGGGGCACTGCATACCACATAGTATTTGTTGAATGAATGAATGAATGAATGCACACATCATATTGAGAGGCAGGCAGCATTGCTTCCATGCCCATGTTGTGTATACACTTCAGGTAAGCTAATAGCAGTGAAACTGATGTCACTTCTCAAGTATTTTGAAAGTATCAGAGAGAAAGTGTTTCAAAAGAGCAAAGGAGTGACTCTAGTCCAACTGAAGACACAGCCATTCATGTGACAATTGTCTTCTATTTCTTTGTGAGCTGCTGTACTGCTGCCTCATGAACATCTTTAACTTTTCTACTATTACTTAATGTTTTTACACGTTGAAATATGATTTCCTCAGCCCCAAGGCTCTCCCTGTAGATAGAAAATTATCCCTTATGACCCAGAAGAGCACACTCTGGGTCTACTCACTCTGTCAATGTGGGATGATTAGTTGGTTGTCAACACCACAAGACTCTCCTCATCTGATGGATGTAGATGTACCAGAGTGTCAAACTTTCAGAGGAAGAGCCAGAAATATTCATCGAGAATACATTTGTGCCGTTTAGTTAAAGCTCTCTGCAATGGATGCATTGCTGGTGCTCTGCTCAGTTCCTCTTTACCTGCTTCTGCACTCATGCTGTGATGGGAGCTGTGAGTACTGATGGATGCCCCCTTCTCCTGAGAATTGCTCTCGGCCAGTGCTAGCACAGGAAGCTCTACCTCTTTCCCTTCTCACCAAACCCTGGGCCAAGGACTAATCGACCCAGGTAGGGCAACCCCATGCCTTGGGATGGTATTAACCCTGTGGTGCAATTTGTGCTCCAGAGCTTCCCCAGGGGTGAGACGGAAGCACGTGTCCTGTTGTGTCCACAGCTACACTCAGCCTTTTTTGCTCACTCAATCCCCATTTTGGGCTATGTCTTCAGAAACTAAACCGAAGGCACTATCCAAAGATTACTTTTGTATTTCTTGTAGAAGCCCCTTCCACCCACACACATATACATTCCTTAAATAGATTCCTATGACCTACCAGATGAAGCCCAGGCTTCTTATCTGCACATTAGGTCTTTGCATGGTCAGTCAGGTCTCTGTCTTTCAAGATTTATTTTTCACTATCATACACCATATTAACCTACTCAGGGCTGACTATTTTACATTCTCTCCCAGCCCTGCACATTCTTTGCAAAGGCCTCCCCTGCCTTGCCTGAATGATGAACACTCTATTCCTTATTCAAGACTCTAATATCACTTCCCCGTGAAGGCTCCTCAGATTCCTCTAGGCTCAGTAGGTGCCACTCCTCAGTTCCCTACAGCATATGGTGTCAATGACAACAGTGATATGCTTGTCTGATTCCTCCACTTAACTGTGAACTTTTTGCTGTTGTTAATAAAGATGTTTATTTTGCATTTTATACAGAACAGCCTGAAGTCTGCCTCATGACTTGATGGTTACCCAGGGATTTACGTGTGTCCAACTGAACACCGTGGTTCTGGGATTGGGGATCCACACAAACAAAGGCAGGAGTTTGGAGGGAAGAAGGGGGCACAGCAGGAGTGTATCTCAAGCCCACCTCAAAGACAGCATAGCATTCCGAGTTGCTGAAAACCTGTGCAAATGGGGCCTCTAAAACAAACATTGTACTGTGAGCTCTTGGGCAAGGTACAGGAAAAGGATGTTGATAAATAAGGGGGCATTTTCTTGAGGCAGCGGATGAGGAGGGAGGCTTACTATTTTTAATGCCCTCAGCCCCAGGACATGATAATCAGAGGAGATCATGTCCAATCTTGAATCAGTTCCCTGTTCAAAAGGTGGTGCTAATACCCCAGGGACCAGACTCTGAAAATACCATGCTGGTCATTCCTGAGTCCCTGTTCTATGCCCCACAACATATTAGAAGGGTAAGGGAAAGTCAGAGGGTAGTGGCTTGTGTTCTGTGGAAGTAAAAAACCTGAGTTCATATTAAGCACTGATAAAACCCAATCACTGGGACTACAGATCTACTGAGAGGTTTCTAGTAGGGACCAAGAGTAGGAGGTCCAGAACATCCTCAGCTCGAGATACAACAGGTGTGGAAAGTCTGGGAGGAGGTGAGTATTAAAGTAATGGGAAACAGAACACTCCCAGGCCTTAATTTTAATTGGATAGTTTTAAAAATCGAAATAGAATCTAACGTTGGGTGCCAGTCACCACAAATGCCATGCCTTTATGGTCACTTGGCATCTTAAACATTTGCCAAAGCATGCCTGTCTGGCTAACCAAAAGGTCTTTCTAGGAGGTGTTCGTGTGCACGAGAGAGTGCCAAGGGGCTTGGTACTGCTGACTATCCAGTGTGATTCCTATGGAAACCGAAGGGGCAGAGTCTTGGTTAGCTGGCTTGTTGAGGTTTGACAGAGAAGAAGCAAAAGCTCTAACGTGACTATAGATTCTCTGCAACTGGCTTTGACCCAGAGAAAGAGGAGCCACATTCTCACTCTAGAGATACAGAGGGACCACACCTAAACCACAGCACATGCATTCGTTCTGGTCATCCTACAGTTGATGGGCAACTCATACCAGGCAGGGGAAGGGATCTGGTTAGGGAAGAAGGGATCATTTTTCATTTTTTAAACTCTGAATTAATATTTTAACCTCAAACAGATTATCAGTGCCTCAGATATAATTTAATCTTAAGTCTTTAAAGGCCCCCTGAAACAACAATATACATTTTTTAAGGCTTCCTCACTTTCTGATAGTCAGTTTCCCCCAGTATCCAGTTTTATCCTGACATAGAGTCCACAGACTTCATCAGACCACCTGTGCTCATGGACTTGGGTCTTTCTAGAGGGAAGTCTCGGGCTCAGCTCCAGATGAGCTGTGCCAATACACCCAATGCCTGTGATGCCCCAAACAGGACCGCATAGCAATGTATCTCCGTCATGCTATAGTACAGGAGAGCACCCCACCATGAGCATCTACTTTGGGCCCAGTATTCTCGGCCTTACCCTAATCTCAGAGGATATTGGGCACAATCTTGTATAACTGAGCAACCAACTTAAACATGGGATCATTATGCGGTGTTTCAGAGCAAACTCTTGCTGACAGGTACATTGTGGCTCAGTCTTCCTTAGCACTGCATGGCCATAGCCTGGAACAACCCATCTCGAGTTGAAAGTAGTCTCGTAACTTCTCATCTGACACATCTTTGCCGACTTCCTTCTGTAGTTGTGTTAGCCAGACAGGCACTTCCTGATTTGCCAGTCCATGCAGAGGACCTGCCAGCCCGTTCATGGCTGCTGCAAAGGACAGGGAAGGATCTGAAAGGGCACTGCCCACCAAGTGGCTGCTATAAGCACTTACATTGCTGTGCTCATGGTCACTGTGGATGGTGAGCTACAGGTGCTTGAGCTCAGTGAACTGAGCATCAGTATAGCCTAACATGTTGGTGAAACTGTGGGACCAGTCCAGCTTAGAGTCAGTGGCCCCAATACCGCTGCCCTCTCAGTAGAGATTTTGGTAGACCTTTGCTGCAACACAAGGTAGCTTTGTGATTAGATATACATGGTCTTCATAAATCAACTCCCAGTACTTGGTTCGGCTGGCACCCTCTGCATGTGCTCAGGGAAAGTTGTTTAGGGCTGCCATGGCTTCACTGAGCTCAAACATGGGTATAGATTGGTGGGAACGTTGTCCAGCATGGTGACCACATGGGAAGGTAGAGCTGCCCTCTTTGCCCACTCTCTCGAGAGCCAAGAAACCTGTTCCTCTCTTGGGGTCTGTCCAGTTACCAGCAGCCAAAATAAGTCCCCTGGGTAGGGGTCCTTCCCCACCCTTAGCCTTGGGTAGCAGTTTTTGGTATTCAGGGATACTAAAGCCTTGGAAACAGAAACCCTCATGAGGATCAAGAACGGATGTTTTATACACCAGTCCCTTAATGCCTCTCATGTCGCCATACATTGCGTCTGCAGTGATTTGGCCCACCACCTTCTTGCAATGTCGCTGCCTGAAGGTCTTAATTCTGGCCTGCTCCTTAACTATCAGGTCAGCCAATAAGTCTTTCAAATTCTTGGAGGAAGCACTGGCACGTCAGGCAGCAGAACAAGACAAGATGCACTGTTGCTTCCCAAGAGCCTGGCAGCCGCACTGGGTAAAACCATGGTGAGTGACCTCTGCGATCTGGTGGAGAGGGAAGAAGGGGAGAGAGCTGCGGCAGGAACAGGAACCACCACCACGGCACCAGAGACGGCAATGGGTGGACAAGGTTGAAAGGAGGCAGCTGAGGGAACGCGTAGATGAACCCGCAGCAGGTGCCCAGCCGGGGGTCCTCAGCAAGGCCCTGCCCACTGCCAACTATGAACTTATTAAAAGTGACTTTCCAATAGTTCTTAGCAGCATGTAGAGTAGAAGATGGAACAATGTATACCTTCAGAATGCACAGAGCCAATGCATTTTTGGATTACAAATAAATCAATTTAAGACCTATTGCTTCTGATAATGATTTGCAAATTGAGAAAATTCTGGAAAAATAGACATCCAACAAGTTAATAGTGATTATACCTAATGACAGGGTTACTGGTGGGGTTTTGTTTATTTGTATGTTCTTATTTGTTTCTTGTTTCTTATGTCAGCAAATTTTAAATAGCGTATGCAAAATGATGATCCCAATAATAAAAAATATTGTGTTTATTCATAAGAGTTAATGTTTATAGAAAGGAAAAGACGAGAATGTTTTTGGACAGATTAGGATTTAAACAAAAATGTTAAACAGAATACAAAATACGTTTTTTTCTCCTGTTGTCTAGCTTTTGTGCAGTGAACACATGTTGCTTTTATAATAAGAAATATACATTTTAAGTTTCAAAATTACTTAGAAAGATTTTGTAAACGACCTAAAAGAAAATAAATGTGTTTGGTGCATCCATTTCTGAGTTTACAGTAGTGTTGAATAGCCCAGCCAAACAACACATGACCTGAATTGAATACAAGTTTACTTGACTCACTCACTATTCCAGAAGGGTGACCACATTCTTTTGTGTTACTACATGTCATCAGTGCCTGTAAGAGACAGAAGTCTTTGGATGGTGTTAAGGTTTTTCATTGGTTTTCTTGTATTCTTAACATTTTATGGTCAAGGTCTTTTGATGTGGGTTTATCCCATAATACTTGTGATAAATGAAAATACATGAACATGGAAGGAAAAACAGGAATGAATTGAGAAAAATCACATCATTCCAGGTAGTCTGTCTCTCCAAAAAAAAAAAAATCATCAAACTAAACCACATGGTATTAAAATTCATTCCTAAATTCTCAGCACAAATAAACTTCTGACTCTTTTTTCTTGGAGAGGAAAGTAATGAAAGTGATGACAATATTTAAGATGAGATATCATCTTAGCTTTACATATTCTATGTTGAGAAGTCTTTTCTTTAAAAATTAATTTGTCCGAACAGCTTTCACCTTTTCCTCTCTATAAAATATTATTTAGGCCAGGCGTGGTGGCTCACGCCTATAATCCCAGCACTTTGGGAGGCCGAGGCAGGTGGATCACTTGAGGTCAGGAGTTTGAGACCAGCCTGGCCAACATGGCGAAACCCCGTCTCTACTAAATATATTTTTAAAAATTAGCTGGGCATGGTGGCACATGCCTGCAATCTCAGCTACTTGGGAGGCTAAGGCACGAAAATTGCTTGAACCCAGGGGGTGGAGGTTGCAGTGAGCCGAGACTGTGTCACTGCACTCCAGCCTGGGAGACAGAGCAAGACTCTGTCTCAAAAATAAATAAATAAATGCATACATATTATTAAATTATCAGTTGACTATTTAAGGGATACAATACTGTGTTTTCATTTTTGGAATCATAATTTTATATATTGTTATTCAAGTTCACTAATAATTTAGAGATTTTCTGCATGTTTTAAGGGATAATATGATAGGAAGGGTGAGCTACATGTTTTGATTCCATAATTTTAAAAAATTTGTTTGGTAAGGCGTACTCAAATGAACTATAATGACACCTTATTTCCGCAATGCCTTTCATCTGAAGATCTCAAAATATCCAACATTTTGAACACATTATTAAACTATTCTCACTGTGACAAAAGTACTATATTTTAGAAATATTTAAATTTTTCCATTCTTTATCCTCCCTAGATGTGTTGATGCCTTTGGAATTTTCAAAGAAAATGTTGTTCATATTTAATAGGCAATTTGGAAAATATTTTATAATGTAACTTAGTTTCTACAGTAGCACACAAAGTATATGGGGGGATATTCTTAGCTCAACAAGCATAACAAAACAAACAAAAAAAAGGATTAAAACTACCTGTAATTCCAGCACTTTGGGAGGCCAAGGCAGGAGGATTGCTTGAGGCCAGGAGTTCAAGACCACCCTGGGATAACATAGCAAGATCTTGTCTCTACAAAAAAATAAAAATAAAATAAAAATTAACTGGGTGTGGTGGAACATGCCTGTAGTCCTAGCTACTCAAGAGGCTGAGGTGGGAGGATTGCTTGAGCCCAGGAGTCTGAGATTACAGTGAACTGTGATCATCAGGTCACTGGACTTCAACCTGGGTGGCAGAGAGAGACCCTGACTCTAAAATAAAAATAAAAATAAAAGTACCTGTAATATTTTGAATATCTATTATGCACCAGGCCCTATGCCAGGCATGCTACATTTGATATCTTAAAACCTCAGCCAGGCGCAGTGGCTCATGCCTATAATCCCAGCACTTTGGAAGGCCGAGGTGGATGGATCACGAGGTCAGGAGATCGAGACCATCCTGGCTTACACGGTGAAACCCCATCTCTACTAAAAATACAAACAATTAGCCAGGCATGGTGGCTGGCGCCTGTAGTCCCAGCTACTCGGGAGGCTGAGGCAGGAGAATGGCGTGAACCCGGAAGGTGGAGCTTGCAGTGAGCCGAAATCGCCCCACTGCACTCCAGTCTGGGCAACAGAGCGAGACTCTGTCTCAAAAAAAAAAACCTCACAGAATCCTTCCTGATTGCTCCACAGTTAGATAAACATGGAGGAGAGAGTGGAAGAGGGTTTCATTCCAATTTTTCTTTGCCTCTTTCATTTATTAATCATTCCAACTATTGGTAATTTTTTAAAAAGTTAGATTCAGAAGCAAGAATTAAGAATACTGATAGATTCTTCATGACAGTTTATGTCTTTATTTTTTTTATTGAGACAGGGTCTCACTCTGCCACTCAAGTTGGAGTGCAGTAGTGCAATCACAGCTCACTGCAGCCTCAACCTCCTGGACTCAAGTGATCCTCCTGCCTAAGCCTCCCGAGGAGCTGGGACTACGCGTATGTACCATCACGCTTGGCTAATTTTTGTAGAGATGGGGTTTCACCATGTTGCCCAGGCTGGTCTTGAACTCTTGGGCTCAAGTGATCACCTGTCCCACCCTCCCAAAATGCTGGGATTACAGGCATGAGCCACTTGGCCCGGCCAACAGTTTATATCTTTTTTTTTTTTTTTTTTGAGATGGAGTCTTGCTCTGTTGCCCAGGCTGGAGTGCAATGGCATGATCTTGGCTTACTGCAATCTCCACCTCCCGGGATCAAGCAATTCTCCTGCCTCAGCCTCCTGAGTAACTGGGATTACAGGCGCATGCCACCGCGCCTGGCTAATTTTTGTATTTTTAGTAAAGACGGGTTTCACCATGTTGGTCAGGCTGGTCTCGAACTCGTGACCTCGTGATCCACCCACCTTGGCCTCCCAAAGTGCTGGGATTACAGGAGTGAGCCACCATGCCCAGCCCACTTTATATCTTCAATGTGAGTGGTGAGATGACGTGAAGATAGTGGGTTTATTTAGGTGACTCATGGTCCTGATGTTATAGGTTAGAGCAGCATTTCCCAAGCACATCCCATATACCACTACTAGTCCTCGACACAACTTTAGGTTAACATTTGAACATTTTACTAGCTATATAGTTTTAACATTTTAACAGTTACTTTTTTTTTTTTTTTAAGACAGTGTCTTGCTTTGACAAGACACCCAGGTTGGAGTACAATGGCAGGATCTCAGCTCACTGCAGCCCTGACTTCCCAGGTTCAAGTGATCCTCCCTCCTCAGCCTCCCAAGTAGCTGGGACCACAGGTGCACACCACCAGGCCTGGCTACTTTTTTTTTTTGTATTTTTTGTAGAGATGGTGTTTCACCATGTTGCCCAAACTGGTCTCAATCTCCTGGGCTCAAGTGGTCCACCCACATTGGTGTCTCAAAGTGCTGGGGTTACAGGCATGAGCCACTGTGCCTAGCCAATATTTTCAACATCTATCCAGAAACAAACTAGCAGAATAAACTTTCTTTTTCTTTTTCTTTTTTTTTTTTTGAGACAGAGTCTCGCTCTGTCGCCCAGGCTGGAGTGCAGTAGCACGATCTCAGCTCAGTGCAAGCTCCGCCTCCCGGGTTCATGTAACACTAACAGGTGATTCAGTCATTAATAAAGTTTTACAGCTTTCAACACGAGTGCTCTTATTTGTTAGAAATGTCTTCTATTATGTCTAGGAATATTTTTAAACCTCTTAACCATAATTTAAAAATAGTGGCTTACACCTGTAATCCCAGCACTTTGGGAGGCTGAGGCAGGCGGGTGACTTGAGGTCAGGAGTTCGAGACCAGCCTGGCCAATATGGTGAAACTCCAGCTCTACAAAAAATAAAAAATAAAAAAAATTAGCCAGGCATGGTGGCAGGCGTCTGTAATCCCAACTATTTGGGAGGCTGAGGCAGGAGAATTACAGAGGACATAGTGAGCCGAGATCGTGCCACTGCACTCCTCCAGCCTGGAGGACAGAACGAGACTCTGTCTCAAACAAAACAAAACAAAACAAAACAAAAAACAGAAGGATCATTTTTTTTTTTTAAAAAAAAGAGTCCTTCAAAACCACAATGTTATACCATCCCATACCAGTCAGAATGGCTACTATTAAAATTTTAAAATAACAGATACTGGCGAGGTTGTATCATTTATAAATGGTATTACTTGCCATAAGGCCAAAATATGTAATGCCATGGACTAATTCTGGTTACTTATGCGGACCCATGAATGGATCGAAGTGTCAATAATTAAAATGTCTGCCTTGGATGTAAGGATACTGTGAGTATACAAATGACCACTATATTTTCTCATATATTGAATTTCCAGTCTCATCATCATGTATTTCTTAGTGATGTATCAATTCAGCACTTCTAGAAGTCAAATGTACATACATATTATCATGAACTATAATCCAGATTGAACTTTTTTAAAGTTTAACTTTTAAGTTCAGGGGTACATGTGGAAGTTTGTTATATAGGTAAACTTGTGTCATAGGGGGTTTGTTGTACAGATTATTTTGCAACCCAGGTATTAAGCCAAGTACCCATTAGTTATTTTTCCTGATCTCATCTCCTCCCACCCTTCACCCTCCATCCTCCTATAGGCCCCAGTGTGTGTTGTTCTCCTCTATGTGTCCATGTATTCTTGTCATTTAGCTCCTACTTATAAGTGATAATATGTGGTGTTTGGTTTCCTTTTCCTGTGTTAGTTTGCTAAGGATAATGGCCTCCAGCTCCATCCACATTCCTGCAAAGGACACGATTGTTCTTTTTGATAGCTGCATAGTATTCTACAGAGTATTTATACCACATTTTCTTTATCCAGTCTACCACTGATCAGCACTTAGGTTGATTCTATGTCTTTGCTATTGTGAATAGTGCTGCAGTGAATATACACATGCATGTGTCTTTACAGCAGAACAATTTATATTCCTTTGGGAATATGCCCACTAATGAGATTGCTAGGTGAAATGGTATTTCTGTTTTCAGGCCTTTGAGGAATTTCCACACTGTCTTTTACAATGGTTGAATTAATTTACACTCCTACCAACGGTATATAAGCATTCCTTTTTCTCTGCAACCTTGCCAGAATTTGTTATTTTTTGACTTTTTAATAATAGCAGTTCTGACTGGTGTGAGCTGGTATTGCATCATGGTTTTGAAGAACTGTTTTTTAAAAAAAATGGATTCTATTATGATTTAGAGGTTTAAAAACTTTCTGGACATAATAGAAGAGATTTATAACAAATATGAGCACTAGTGTTGATCGTGGCAAAACTTAATGAATGACTGAATCATCTGTTTGTGTTATAAAATGCAAGCGTCAACAAAAATAACGGTACACAAAAATGATAAAAATAGTTTGAAATTTGCAATTTAATTGC